GAGATACAATCAAATTCAATATTTTTCAACACGCCATTTCACTCAAGGTGTATGTGTACGTTGAATATGTTTTTTTTTATTGAAAACTCTAACAAACAAGAAAATAAAAAAACCAAGACACTTACCAAACTTTGAATAATACTTTGTTCCAAGATATACTTATATTTATATATATATATCAATTTTGTTGCTAAATAATATTTTATTTAAAATGGGGAAATGTTAACAACATAAGGCTATGTTCTGTCAATACAAGAAATAATTTTCAATTCTTCCACCAGATGGCTACATTATTACAGATGTCATTTCATTCAATTGTTTGGTTTTGACACATAAAGGTGCATTTTCCAAGGCAACAATTGCAATCGTCCACGATTTTTTTTTTTCAAATCGGGCGTCAAAAAAACCACAAATAATAAATCGTTCACGATTTTGGCGTCAAAAAAACCATTGATCTCAATCGTTAACGATTTTGGCCAACGATTTGAAATCGTACACGATTGTAATCGCCGCCTTGGAAAATGGACCTTAAGTCATTTTATAGTGAAATTAATCAACGCACCTAGTGTTAATGTGTTAGAGTGCTAATTTAGTGTATTTTTGAGTTTAATTTATTTTCATTGGTTTAGCATGGTGATTTACGCGTACAAAAATATTTTCAACAGCTACCGAAAAAAATCCACAAACGAGACTGGATGTTTTGAGTTCACAAGACTCAAACCAAAGCCGTAAGTTAACATTTTTTGTATTTTAATTATAAATTTGGTGAGATATTGTAAAGAATGCTAGTTTAACGAATTTTACGCGCGTTATTATTGAGAGACTAAGAATAAAAACAGCGCGTCGCATCTCATTTCTTGTTTTCACTAACGGGAATTTCTATAAGCAAAAGGCGCGACGCGCCGTTATTCTTAGTCTTTCTATTGATCTTTTGTTTAACTTTAGAATTTCATTTATTTGGCTTTTATACTAATTGCATGAAAAAAAGGAATTTATATTAGTGATTTATTGAACTTCGGATGCATGGAGTTATGTTGTTATTTAACAACAACATTATTTTCACCTTATTTTTTTT